AGTCTGCTCGTTTGTCCAAAATATTCGATTATTAATATTAGTTGCTTCATATCACAGTTTAGTTCATTTATCCACTAGACTGCAGATTGTGTTTTAAAAGTGATTGAAAATGCGTAGGAAAATAAAATGATTGGTTTATGTTTGCTGCGTCCAGTGTCAAATATTTCATGCATATTTATGACTATAACAAATTCACAATAAATCAAATAGATAGATTCTTTAAATGGATAGCCAAGATGAAAGACGAAAAATGCAGACAGCTACTTGAAAAAAGGGAGGTGTTAGATATGGGCAAATATATTGACACAGTATGTCCTCAAAGAAATGTTGAAAAAAATGAAAACAACACGTTATAAATTTCATGCGTCCGAAGCGCTTTTCTGGATTTACCTTCATCAGTAACGCTCAAAGCAGAATATTTGAAAGCCAAGGATGTACAAAAATCGAAACATTTGAAGCGCTATATAACCAAAAGGTTCTTTAATGTGATTAGACCTTGTCCTTTTCCTGGGGCCGTGGGTAGTCAGAGATCACTCCATATAGAAAACATGGAAATTTACGACCCAGACTCTGTCGTCACACTGCTCAGTTAATCCTTAGGAATGGCCGTCAGACGCCCCAAGGCACTCGCGGACTACCTTCTTGGTGCTAATAAAATTAGTACCTGTATAATGTGGAACTAATTAAATCAGTGTCGTTATACATATCAATAATTCATTTATATTTGACCGCGGTCAACACCAGGAAATGTTATTATCACGGAGAATATAGACGTTTATAGTTCTGACTATAATAAATATTTCCTGCAGGTTCGTTTGTACGGGAAATGATTGATACTTCCAATTGTATAGTGTGCTTGCATACAGAAAAGATACCACGACATAATACGTATAGTTTTTTGGACAGATAAATAGAATCATATCTTTAATGTTCCTATTTGATTTTATTTGCTCCTCAGATCCGTATTTGATTTGATTTGCTCCTCAGATTCGTATTTGATTTGATTTGCTCCTCAGATTCGTATCTGATTTGATTTGCTCCTTAGATACATATTTGATTTGATTTGCTCCTCAGATTCGTATTTGATTTGATTTGCTCCTCAGATTCGTATTTGATTTGATTTGCTCCTCGGATTCGTATTTGATTTGATTTGCTCCTCAGATACGTATTTGATTTGATTTTCTCCTTAGATACGTATTTGATTTGATTTGCTCCTTAGATACGTATTTGATTTGATTTGCTCCTTAGATACGTTTTTGATTTGATTTGCTCCTCAGATTCGTATTTGCTTTGATTTGCTCCCTAGATACGTATTTGATTTGATTTGCTCCTTAGATACGTTTTTGATTTGATTTGCTCCTTAGATTCGTATTTGATTTGATTTGCTCCTTAGATACGTTTTTGATTTGATTTGCTCCTTAGATTCGTATTTGATTTTGTTTCCCAATGGTTCAGTTTTAAGCGCAAGTGTTATGTCGACGCGCCTGGCCTACCAAACCTGGAGTATTTAATGACAAGAACACACTGTTTGGTTACCGTTAGCACCTGAAATTGAAATTATTATGTGACATTAAATATTTCAAGAATTGATTACTACTATCATTTGTTTGACCATTCGGGGAAAATAGTTATGTCAACAGATGAAAGACAAAAAGAACATGTTTTGTAAAAATTATGCCTCGGTAATACGACATAATTAATTTTTACGTGGGAAGTAAGATATGTAGGAGATGAATGAATCATTCAGTAGCCCACTGGTCAACCCAGTCAGTTGCCCACTGGTCAACCCAGTCAGTAGTTTTATATAACTTTTTATTGACAAAGTGACGATGAAGGATTGACGATTTATGTTATCTTTCCTAGTAAACATGTAATACACGATATTATTATTACATACTAAGGTTATGACACAGACTTATGGAGAATGTATCATCATAACCCAAATAATCCATTCGTTATACTCTGCTCACTACGATCACTCCTCTGGAGGACACTGACCGTAAGAGGGCGCTGAACTATTCGAGTTAGTATCACCATATTAGATTCCCATTAATTTTGTGTTGTCTGTTTAAAACCTAATGACACCAATTTTAGTAACCACGCATGACATCGTGACATCATGCTTTCATTAAATATGGGTCCTTAAATACTTAAAATTATTCATCAAATAATACTTCTTTCGAGGACCCAAACTTGAAAGTGTTATATTATAAACTGCATGCGGTAAATTTTAATTCGTAGTAAATATAAATCAACAATGCTAATAGTACTGCCACATGTATATCCTTCAAAAATGAACAGCACTGCAAACAAAGCATGTTAACAACGGTATTGATGAAAAGTCATAAATAAACAGATGATTTTACGAGAACACTCTCTATAAAACAACATTGACCTCTCATAATAGTTTAAGACATCCGTCATGAATGTATGATATTCTTTTTCATTGAACCTTAATTCGTCGTGTCAAGGGAAATTTGTGATAAATATAGATGCAAAATAACAGCTATCAATAAATTGTGTATGTTGGATTAGGGTTAGGGCTGAAATTTGAACCTGCAACAGGCTACCAACGTACCCATAAGAGACCTGTTGCAATGGTTGTTTAACACCCGCTTGACACTCTTCCTTCGTGAGGCAGTTAAACGTTTCCATTTCGACCAGACGTGGCTACGTATTTATACATCCTGTACAGCCAAGCGGGCAACCCGTTTTATCAAGGTTTGTACTGCCGGAATTGGAGACGTCCATGGACGAGCAAATTTCTATACCCTAGTTAAACCCTGTAGGGGTCTGGAGACTTGGAATCCAATAACCTTGAACGATATGTAGCTTCAAAACCATTAGTACCGATACTCATACGGTATTGCCTATGGTATTTTATGTGCTGTTGCCTATGGTGTTTTATGTGCTGGTGCCTATGGTATTTTATGTGCTGTTGCCTATGGTATTTTATGTGCTGTTGCCTATGGTGTTTTATGTGCTGTTGCCTATGGTATTTTATGTGCTGTTGCCTATAGTATTTTATGTGCTGTTGCCTATGGTGTTTTATGTGCTGTTGCCTATGGTGTTTTATGTGCTGTTGCCTATGGTGTTTTATGTGCTGTTGCCTATGGTATTTTATGTGCTGATGCCTATGGTATTTTATGTGCTGTTGCCTATGGTATTTTATGTGGTGTTGTCCGTGGTGTTGTCTGTAGTGTCATCTGTCTTTCTTCAACTTACCGTATTTCATTTCCCCCTTTAATTGTTTTGCTATGATACAATTTTTTTGGTAGTTGTTTTCAAATCGTATTCATATGAACGTAACCGCAACCATGTAGACCCTGTGAAGGGAAGAACGGTGACTAATGGCTGCTAACATCTATGTCATTTGGTCTCTGGTGGAAAGTTGTCTGAACGGAAATTATACTACATCTTCGTTAAAATCGACGCATTTAAACAGTATGGCCATTTTGCACATTATGTTTTAACAAAATAGAGATAAGCAACAGCCTAACCCACAAATATTTTACACTTATTTACATCTGTGTATGAAACATCTTGTAGCAAATGTCTTTTAATGGGTAAGACTGTTGCTCATATCTTAAATATTGATAACTTGATCTCAAAATGGACTATTTTTGCATTGTTTGCAGTTTTGCACTAATTGCAAGAAGTTTAAAGCTCAAATGCAAAGATGTAAGACTTAATTCAACACAATAATTATAGGTATCTGACAGACAAAAGTCTTATGAACACCTGGAGAATGATATTTGTAATAGTGTTTGATATTTATATATATATATATATATTGTCTTTTTGTCTTGTTCGTATATTTTTTTATCTTTTATCAATATCGTTGCACAAACATTTCGAGTTAAAAAATTGTATATGTCTTTATTTCAATTATACTGCAAGGGATCTCTATTTTTTATTTATAAATTTGAAGACTTATTTGTAAATTTTGGCTACCCCAGTAAACAATGCGAGATTTTTTTTCAATTGAAAAACGTGAGATCGAACATTTATGTCATTCATAAATGAAATGAAATGCATCAAGAGTGTAAAATTTGTAAAAAAAGGGGGGGGGGAAGGATTTTTTTGGGATGTCGGGATTGGAATTCGGGATTGGGCCTTTATTTACATGAGAATTCGAGATTTACACCTATCGGGACTTGGGAATTAATGATTGATTTTTCAGGATAAGAGAAATGTAAAATTAAGGAGATGTGGTGTGATTGCCAATGAGACAACTATCCACCAAAGTTCAAATAAAGTGGATGTAAGCAATAATAGGCAACCGTACGGCCTTCAACAATGAGAAAAGCCCATACCACATATGTTTTTTATTTAGGAATTCTGGTTGATACTCCCTCCTACCTCCCCCCCCCCCCCCCCCCCCCCCTCCCGTTAAACATATGACAAGAAGGCCCGAGAACACAGTTATGTTCCCCTATTTGTCTATTAAAACATAATGGCAATTAAAAAAAATTCCACCTGTTCTATTTTAATAAGATTTGGTGTGCATAAAGTTTGACTTTTATCCCAAAACATATCAAAAATTCAGAAAAGTCTACCAGCTCATTCTCTCCAGGTAACCCAAAACATAAGGACACCGGTAAGGATGAAGCCAGAGAGCTTCCGAGAAGAGGAAATTACACCTTTATTTACCTGACCAAATCACTCATTTCTACAGAAAATTTCAAAAAGATTTTTTTCAGACAGTATATTTGAAGTCTTATCTTTCACCTAAATACAAACAAATAATGAAAAATTTCAAAAAAAGACAAAGAAAAAAAATAACAAAAAAATACACTGAAATTAAAGGGAACTACATTTGGCAATTGAAGGTAGATAACTGTGTCCTCGGACCAGAACGAAGTAAATGTACTTTTATTCATCGATTCAAATGTATGACCTCATAGACAATAGTTATGTTGTATAGGAAAAGGTTTCCAAATAAGCAATATTTAGATTGATATAACATATCAAATAATTTGTTTCTTTGTTTTTTTTAGATGTATCCTCCGGACAACAACGTAAGTTATATACTATTCTATTTCTAATATCTATAATGTTTATATGTTTCTGTCTCAATTTAGAAAAAAAAAACAAAATAGGTCAAACACTGAAATCTCTATGAGTATCGGAAACCTTACTAAAGGGATGATTCTAGGAATGGATATTACCAAATTTGTACTTGTTCCTATAAAGAAGAGGAAGATACAATATAAACATATACACATACATATACATGTACACATACACATACATATACATGTACATGTATATATATTGTTAAAATATACTTTTCACTTTTCGGTCTTTTGGAAAATGTTGTTTGTGCTGTATTTAGACCCCTCTACCAAGAAATTTGTTTTACATGCACACGTATAAAAATTGCGGTTTTTATCCAACACAATCATAGGTTTGAACGTTGTTTTCAATTTAGACTTGTTTATATTTTTTCGTTTGGGCTTGTATTATACTTGCCTTAGGGTTTATATGATTCGTTCATCCTATTTTGACTCCTCAAAATTCAAGAGTCTATCCTAAATTGAGGTAAATTGTTGGGCTTTCCAAATACCGTTTCGATTCCTAACATCACTGAAGAGACATTATTTGTCGAAATCCGGATATGGTGTACAAAAACCTTTTCACCTTTTGTTTGCGGTATATCATCTTTTCCGCAAGTTTATTGTTTTCTGTTTAGTATTAAATTTATAATTAAGATCCATTTATTACATCGGTGATCCGTTTATTTGGCAATCGCCAATGGCAGTCAGCAGGGTTTAAGAACATTTGTTGTTCGACCTGTTAGTCAAATGCGTTTTGTTAAAATATACTTTTTCACTTTTTTGGTCTTTTGGAAAATGTTGTTTGTGCTGTATTTAGACCCCTCTAACAAGAAATTTGTTTTGCATGCACACGTATAAAAATTGCGGTTTTTATCCAACGCAATCATAGGTTTGAACGTTGTTTTCAATTTAGACTTGTATATATATATCCATATATGAGTTATAGTCTGTTTATATATGATAGATTTATTTTATTTATTGGAACTACAGGATTTTTATACAAAAACAGATGATTTTGCAGAAGCCGGCAAACGTTTGGAGGCAAATGTTTGCGCAAGCTCCCAAAATGTACATTTCTGTTCATCAACATTCAAACAGTGATTATCCTTGTTTTGTTTCCCGCCTTTTATCGATTATCGCTTGACCTTTACAAAGTTCCTTCAATTTTTTATTCCTTAACAACACTGTTATTTATTCGGTTTCGTGTACTTGCATGAGCAACACGACGGGTTAAACATTTGTTGATCTACACTATATGTGACAATTATCAATAAAAATTGACGTACCGTCACTTGTGTATAACATTTATGACTGCCTACCGCGTTAATTTGGGCATGGCTTTCTTGAAGATGATGTTGGACTCTTGATATCGTTTGGTCATTCGGGCGTCTCTTTGTTTCATTCATATAGTCTTTTATTCGCTCTTTGTTCAAGCTTCACATACTATAGTAGCTATTATTTTGTCAGTTTATTAATTCATTTATCAGACTCATGCTTTACTCAATTTCAAAAATGAATTGACCCCCAATTTCTTGTAGGTTATAATTTTGTATTCTACTTTAACATCATAATGATAATAGTCATTTAAATGACCAAATAGTTTTTTTTTGTAAAAAGCTGTATTTTGTTTAATGAAGAATGCCTGCTATGCATTTTTCACAATCAGTTTTAATTTCCTTAACTAGTTTGAAAATTTACCCAAAGGAAATTGTTGTGTTTTGTTTTCTTTAATCATAGGGTGAATTTTCAGTAGTATATTTATACGTGAATTCGCAATGGTATATTTATAAGGAAAATTCGTAATGGTATATTTATAAGTTAAATTCATATGGTATATTTTATAAGGTTAATTCGTATGGTATATATTTAAGATACATTCGCTATAATATATTTATTAGGAAAATTCGTATGGTATACTTGGTATATTTATAAGGTAAAATCCCTATGGTATAGTTATAGGAAAATTCGCTATGGTATATTTATAAGGTAAATTCGAAAGGGTATATTTATAAGGTAAATTCATATGGTATATCTATAAGGAAAATTCGCTATGGTATATTTATAAGGTAAATTCGCAATGGTATATTTACTAGGTAAATTCGCAATGGTATATTTATAAGATAAATTTGTATGGTATATTTATAAGGAAAATTCTCAATTTTATATGTATAATGGTATAATTTAAAGGTATATTTATACGCCATTTAATTATTTTATTCAATCAGTGTCATATGCAGAAATAACTGCACTATCTGAACAACTTAGTAAAGAACTTCTGATAGAGTTAGCCACTGAAGGTTATGTATTACATGTATACAATGTAGTCTGTTCTGTCATAGCATTGCATGGCTCAATGTTTTAGTGCAAACGGCGCGAGTGATATATGTTACATTTGTTACAAAAAAACAACACTTTGCTGCGTCCGAAGCGCTTTTCAAGATTTACCTTCCTCACGACGCTCTACCGATACAAGTTAATACATAATGTATTCCTTAAATTAAGTGAAATTCTTAAATGTTTGAAACGATGATAAAATGATGATAGTCGTGAAATGGCTGTTACATGTATCCTAGTTTGTCTGTATGCAGCAGATCTCTCTCATTAGTGTATACCCTATCTTAACTACTGTAGTTCTGAGTAGAAAATGCATTATGTGTAAGTAATTACCAATATCTAACTTCTATATTTCTACTTATAAAATGCTTTCTGTGTTAGTATATAATACTATCTAACTACTATATTTCCAAGTAGAAAATGCTTTCTGTACTAGTATATAACACTTTCCTAAATGCTTTATTTTTAGGTAGAAAACGCTTTCTGTTTTAGTTATGTATGGATTTACTTTTTGTGTGTATAGATTTATCATATATTAGTATTTGCATATATTTGCTATATGTATGCCAAAAGATGATTTAGTTTTAAGTCATCAGAAATTACATAGAGTAGACAGAGGTTTATTTTAAGCTTCTAAAACGCGCGCTCAAATTTACATCCGTCTATGCTATAGTTTAGACATAAACATTCGAGTGTTTTCAACTTTTCATAAATATATTTGTGAACTAAAATATAACTTTAGTTAGTTAGATTGGTCGCAGCTGAAGCTTTCTAGAAATATTACTGTAGCTAAAATATAATGTTTATCTGCATGTTAAAGGCTTTTTATGTTATAGATATCAAAATTAGCTTAGAATTCTCATTTTGGTCTGATTTTTGTAGTTTTCGGTTCTGATAAATTAGATATATATACTTGTAGTAATACTTTTCAAAGAATTTATATTAAATCTATTGATTGAATTGAATTGCAAATATTCTTTTTAATCTTTTGAATCAATGGTATAGTCAATCTATTAGACATGTTCAAATAAGTTTTACAATTTATAGATGAAAATTTCTATTACATAGTATTTTTTTTTTTTTTTTTTTTTTAATTGATCATATTATTGAAACTTTTTTATCTATACTACAGGCAAGGCCAAAGCATCAAATCAAACAGGTAATAAGCTTTGTAAATTTTATAGTACCGAGAGTAAGAGAGAGAGAGTGTATGTGTGTGAGAGAGAGAGCGAGAGAGAGAGAGAGCTTCAAGATAAAACCAATCATTGTGAACTTGAAGCGTTTTCAGGTAGAAAAACAAAAGAATATCCTTCCTTCAGAAAAATTAGAGGACATTAACTCCACAACATAGATAAGTTGAACTTGTGACTGGAAATATATGTATTATACAAATGGATGGTTTTGTTGCCAAAAATTCTGGTTTTTCTCCCTTGGAAATACATGAACCAATTCAGAATTTTGATTGCAAGCCTAGAATCATTTTACTTTGAAACTGAACGGGAGCCTTTGCAATCTCGCAGACAAGGAAGAAATTTAATATTTTTTATAATTTTGTTTTCTGCATTGGATAGAAAGAATTTTCCGTAAGGCGGAAATGATTTTAGACAACCTTTAACTAGATATCAGTTGTACTCAAACTGCTTTCCCCCTTCTACAATCAGACTTTGGAACAATTAAGACCCAACTATCAGTAACCTCTCCACGATTAACAAACGTAAAAAGGCCAATAAATCCAATTAGCATGTCATTATTCTGATGGTTGCAAATTATGAAATATTATCAATACCGTTAAAAAAGTTATTTTAATGATCCAGGTTGTTTGTATGGTAATCGAAAACCCAGTTCATTATTTCCTTCAATGCTCTAAATATACATTGACACGCGAATAGTTGAAAATAAGTCACGAGACAAGAAAGTCTTTTTTAAGATATAACATATCAAAGTATTTCTGAATTTTTAATTTTCATACACTGGATGTTGTCACTAACATTATGAGCTGCGTCGGATAGAAAATGACCTTGCATATCAAAATACATCTGTTAACTTATTTCGGATTGAAAAAAAATGTCCACGGAAAGTCTGTAACTGTTTGAAAATTGATATGTTATAAGAACCTTACAAAACAGACCAAAATTCATCTTTTATTTCGTATTTGAATGTTCCAGAATCAACCAAAGTCTTATACATGTACGATTTCTATCCAACGCCGCACATGTAGTTAACACATGTTAAATAAACAAATGTATAACAATTCTAATGTGTAACGTATAGTACAATTCCACTTGTTATAAAAAAAAGTCATCAAAGTTACCAAACTTATAATTTGGTAGACTTATTTAGTATGACGATAAATTTTCACTTCTGTACTCATACTCTGAACAAAAAAAATATTCATTTTGTAAAAAATGTTTACTTCAGTACTCCTAACAAAATTATTATATTTAAATTTACCTGTTTACGTTGTTTTATTTAACGCCATTTTGTCCCAGGTAAGAGTTGTCTTATTGACACTCTTCCTGCATCTTTTTTATTACTACCTGTAACGTCTATATTATAAAGGCACCTACGTTTTGAATATTGTTTTTATATTGTGTCATAGATCAAACTTATTCGTTAAATGTATGTTTACTTGTTTTTGTTTAAATGTCTTTTTGATCGAGTTAAGCCATTTCAATTGATATTTTTTAGTGTGTCTTTTTATGTTGTAATGTTACACTACAGTCTCAGGTTAGGGTGAATGTTGGCGCCTGTTAAAACGTTTAAACCCGCTGCATTTTTATGCACCTGTCCTGAGTCAGGAGTCTGTTGTTCAGTGGTTGTTTGTTGGTGTGGTTCATAGGTGTTTGTCGTTTACCGTTTTTATATAGATTAGACCGTTAGTTTTCCTGTTTGAATTGTTTTACACTAGTCATTTTGGGGCCCTTTATAGCTTGCTGTTCGGTGTGAGCCATGGCCCCGTGTTGAAGACCGTACTTTGACCTATAATTGTTAACTTTTTATACATTGTGACTTGGATAGAGAGTTGTCTCATTGGCACTCATACCACATCTTCTTATTCATATTAAGAAAGAAATGTTGCTGTGTTGCATTTACTGGTTTTATATTTATCATTCATTTTGTTATTTCTTTCAGCACAGAGCATTCCGACAACTACAGGTAAACACTTCATGTCGAGTCTTGTTTGTGTGTCAAATGTTTCAGTTGCTTGTGTGTTATGTTTTAGTTGTTTGTGTGTGTAATGTTTTATTTGTTTATGTGTACAATGTTTTAGTTTTTCTTGTGTGTAATGTTTTAGTTGTTTGTGTGTGTAATGTTTTAGTCCTTAATGTGTGTAATGTATAAGTTGTGTGTGTGTTTACTGTTTAGTCCTTTATATGTGTAATGTATAATTGTTGTGTGTTTAATGTATAAGTTGTTTTTGTGTGTAATGTTTTGATTGTGTGTGTGTTTACTGTTTAGTCCTTAATGTGTGTAATGTATAATTTGTTTGTATATAGATATAAGGAGATGTGGTATGAGTGCCAATGAGACAACTCTCCATCCAAGTCAAAATTTATAAAAGTAAACCATTATATGTTTATATATAAGTTGTTTATGTGTTTATGTATAAGTCGTTTGTGTGTGTAATGTTCTAGTTGTTTGTGTGTGTAATGTTTTAGTGGTTAGTGTTTGTAAGGACTGATTTTTTTCTTCGGAGAAGCGTTATAAATTTTACTGTACCTAGTTCATGTATAAGTCATATTAGACATATGTGTACATTTTGTAATGTAGCAGTAATGACCAATTGAACATATGTAATATTTGAGACTGAGACATTATATTGCCCCGAAATTATACAAAAATATAAATCTTTAATGTCTGCAAACCTATATTAGTTTTATGTTAAATTAAAAGCATAATCTAAGCAGGAAACTAACGAAAATGAAATGCCAATTGAGGTGTGTCCCTTTGGCCTACTCTAGGGGCGATGTGAATCATGTGGATACTAAAAATATCTGATAAAGTACATACAATCTAAGCCTTTTTCCTCTTTTGTTAATATAAAGACATTTGACTTTTTTATCCGTTTCACTGGTAAACCCCATTCTAAACTTAGACAGATAAAAAAATATTGTCCATCTTTGTTTCATCAAAAAGAATGGCCAACGTAGATACTAATATATTGTTGTGGGAAGGGATAAATCATACTTTGTAAAAAAGAAAACACTCTGATTAAAAATGAAACAATTCTCTGAACCTGAAATCATAAAGATTCTTGGTTTTATTATTGACAACATATTTGTTACGTTTGGAAGACATGTTTTTCAATAAACAATCGGTATTCATATGGGAACTAATTGTGGTCCTATTCTTGCCGCATATGAGACAGATTTCAAACAGGAGTATCTCGGGAAGAATGCAGAGGAGCTTGCATTATCCATTAATTTCACGTTCCGCTATATAGATGATGTCCTCTCACTAAATAATCCAAAGTTTGGTGACTAAATTGTACGCATATATCCCATCGAACTTGAAATAAAGGATATCACAGATCACAGATATAGTCAAGTCTGCCACATATTTTGACTTAAGTCTAGAAATTTACAATGAAGGTTGGTAGGGAACAAAACTTTACGACAAAAAGATGAACTCAGCTTCCAAATTATGAACTTTCCATTTCTATGTAGTAATATTCCAGTAGCACCTGGATGTGGAGTATATATCTCCCCGTTGAAACTATATTGTATGAACAGACCAGAGCACATTAGTTCATCCTCGGTTTTTGTGGGGTTCGTGGTGCACACTTACGCTCAGAAAATGTGCACTTCCAAATCAGTATTGTAATATTTATTTACAACACATTGGTTTATATTTTGGTGGCTTTTCAGTACAAATTTCTAATTGTTATACCATCTATACTAACAAGTGCAAACATAGTTTCTCTCTCTCTCTCTCATACATTACACATGTGAGTCTCTAAAAGTAATAAGTAATGCGATTTCTTTATCAAGTAATACATTTTCAATACATATTAGCATCAAAATACATAAAGATTATATATGTTTCAGAAAATGCCAGGATGAAGAATTTCAAGCAAGTAGCAATGGGTGAGTATTTTTTTCTGTAAGGAAATGCCTGTACCAAGTCAGGAATATGACAGTTGTTATCCATTCGTTTGATGTGTTTGGGTTTTTGATTTTGCCATTTGATAAAGGACTTTCCGTTTTGAATTTTCCTTGGAGTTCGGTATATTTGTTATTTTACTTTTTACAACACCATGTAAAAATACGAAAGAGGGACGAACAAAATACACGTCCACAAAACGCTACATAGAAAACTAAAGACTGGGTACAACGAACACAACCAAAAACTCGGATTGATCTCAGGTGCTCCCGAGAGGGTAAGCAGATCGTGCTCCAGTGGTGACACTCATCATGTTTTTCACAGTAAGTAGTAATTCGATGTTAATTCTGAATCGGTGATGTCACAATCGTCGAAAAGAGGACGGATTTGTGGTAATGACAATTGGAACATATACGTGGCCATCTGTGACACAGATATCTCATAATGGACAACCAACTCGCGATGACGTCCTTTAAATTTTCAAAGAGTTGGCATGTACTAGTATGATATTTTTTCGGTAAGGTGCTAAAACAAAGTTTTATAGCTGACTGTGCGGTATGGGCTTTGCTCATTGTTGAAGGCCGTACGGTGACCTATAGTTGTTAATTTCTGTGTCATTTCGTCTCTTGTGGAGAGTTGTCTCATTGGCAATCATACCACATCTTTTTTATATTCACTTTGGCAAATACTTGGAAAAACATATGTGTATGAGTTGACGCTTGTTTAACAAATTTTAGGACTCTAAAATACAGGTTAGTTACATATGCTAACAAAACATTTATTTGTACGGTCCACGTGTCCGCACATTTTATGCATATATTATTAGTTACATAGTGTGCTAGTGACATAATACGGTATATATGGGGTCAGTAAATTCCATATGGGATGAGAGCGAAGCTCGAATCCCCATATGGTATTTACTGACCCCATATATACTGTATTACGTCACTAGCACACTATGTAACGAATTTATCTTACCGACTATCTTAACATGTGGTATTTAGACTAGTTACTTATCAAAGTGAGCAAGTCTTCAATACCGTTAGCATTACAAAACTACTTCCATTGGTCATACAAAAAAAAAACAAATGCCAACAATAACAACTTGTTAGCTTTAAATGTATTTTATGAATTTATTTCAATCTTTCATCATCAATTTCTTTAAACCTTTAAGATATTTTCTCAGTACCGTTTTGTTTTTATAAAGGGATATAACACCACTACTAACCGTGTATTGAAATAAGCCCCGCCTACTAACCTAATATGGAATATACACGGTCTCCACGCGGTTGCTTTTAACCAATCGCATTCCTAGAAATGTATAGGAGGTAAGATAAAGGTCTATACTTTAACAGTGATATATATTTACATATACCTAAGTTTGTTTATTTATATATTTCAGCCGATGGTGCTTTGAGCCAATTAAGAAACAGTAAGTTTCATTTAATTTGATAAGAATTGTAAAAACAGCTTAAAAAGGGGGGAGGGTTATATTTACACTAGATCGGTTATATGTAAACTGATTGTTATTTAAAAATGGCGGGAAAAGGTTGACTCGGACTTTTACCTTATATTTGCATTGGTATTAATTGGGTCTCAAATCGAAAAAAAAAAGAAATCTAGAATCTGCTTAAATTTTGGTAAATGACCTTTTATGAGCTATTGAAGTCTTATATGAAAAGAAAAATGGGGGTTATGGGTCAAAACATTTTACCCTTTATCGTAGGAAAAAACCCAAGGAGTCCAAACAACTGACAAAAATTCCAAAATCTGGCCTAAGTACATCCTTAAGTCTAAGAGAACATGATTTATTTATTAGTTAAAGTGACATTTTTCAGTAACTGTCCGTACTTGTAGATTTGTTCTTTGGTCTTTTAGTCTATTTGTTAGCTTGTTATTTGCTTAAGGTGGTACATAACATTACAGGGAGATAACTCTGTAAAAACCAGCTTAACGTTTTAATCACGTTCTAATGTTAAGGAAATATTAAGCTTCTCAATTATCAAAATTAGTGTTTGTCAAACTGCTATATATCCAATGAAATTTTTCCGATAAAGTGTGTGGTTCAAGTTTTTTGAAATTTTTATATTTTTGTCAAAGGGTCAAAGTAAATATTTTGTCAAAACTTAATGCAAATTAAACGAGCCAAAATAATTTTAGTCAAGGTGTTTGGTACCACCTTCATGCCAATCTGATGAGTCAAGTTACTTCCGACCGATTTTTTATTTGTTCTTATTTAGTGCTGATATAACACTGTTTGAAGAGGGTTGCACGCTCAAAAACATGTTCAAGCCGCATTCTTTATGTACCTGTCCTAAGTTATGATCCTGAGATTCCGGTTGTCGTTGGTTACTGTGTATAATGTTTGAATTATTTCATCGTGTCGTGTCATTTTATAGCATACTATACGGTATGGGTTTTGTTCATTGATGAAGGTCGTACGTTGACCCATAGTTGCCTTACATTTAAGTCATGTATTTTGAACTTTTTTTTTTTTTCAATAATCACTTTTTGCTTTCAGTAAAAAATTAAAGGCTGTATACATTGAGACTTGTAGCTGCTAACATATACGTCATGTTGTCTCATGTGGATACATTTCACATTGGCAATCATACTACATTTCAGTGTCGGATCCAGGGGGGGGGGGTTCCGGGGGTTGGAACCCCCCTTTTTTGGCCGATCAATGCATTTGAATGGGGACATATGGTTGGACCCCCCCCCCCCTTTCTCCTGGGTTGGGACCCCCCCTCCCCTTTTTAAAATGGCTGGATCCGCCCTTGCATTTTCTTTTGTATATTTAGCTACACGACTTCTTGTACAAAGATGTCGATGTGCGTTAAATATCTTTTTGGTTAAATCCGTGACTCATACATCCTTTTGCTAAAAATTATGTGGAAAGTAATCAATTTAGGCTAAATGTGTCAATTTGTCAAGTTTTTGACATCATAGTTTGACATCTCAACTGACATAACTGCACTTATATGTCAAGATTATCCTTTGCAATCAGCAATAAAAGGATTGACAAGTTCTGTAATTGCTGAAATTGTAGGGACCATACAGTGACTGTTATAAATCAATCCTCCACCTTAAATGAAAAAAAAAACAATTTGCATCATCTATCTTTGGTATATAAATAAGAAGATGTGGTATGATGCCAATGAGACAACTCTTGACCAAAGACCAAATGACGTAGAGGTCATCAACAATAGGTCACCGTACGCCTTTCAACAATGAGCAAAACCCATATCGCATATCAAGTTATAAAAGGCCCCAAAATGACAAATGTTAAATAATTCAAACGAGAAAACTAACTGCCCGATTTACGTACAAAACAATAAACGATAAACAAATATGATGAACAGAAACAAACGACAACCACTGAATTACAGTCTCTGTTTTTTAAAGGATTTAATATATTTTTAATGAATATTATTGATGTGTAATCTGGCCGATTAACTCACAAATCAAAGGACTTTTATGTAAAGTGTGTGAGTCTTTGGCATAGTTTACACATCTTTAGAAAAACGAGTTTGATCCTGAAAAGTCTCAATTCAAACAGTTTTAATTTTTATTCAACTTCCACTTGCTTATAACTGCAGGATTCCATCCATGTGTATCGCTCATGAATATATCACGGTGATATCTACATAGTGTTTACATAAGTTTCGAAAGTAGTTCCCGCAACATGGTCTATTGAAATGTAATCAAAGGGGGAACATTAACAGTTCCAATTACATTTAAGTATTTGTAGATATACAAATCATATACGATTATATGTCTTAAAAACGTGATGAACTGAGTACTTCGCCTTTTCAGAAACTTAAAGACTATGTAATCTCATTGTCAGTACACCAAAATGAAAATAACGTTACGTCATTTGTTGAATTTCCTTTATTAAGGACGTTTTAAACCAATCACAACGGTGTGGTATACGCTTTTGAAAAAAAATACCCCAAATGCATTAGATTCTGAAACGGCAAATTGACCTATTTACATAGTAATTGACATACTAAGATGATATAAACTGTTGTAGGATTATTACAGAGAATGATGCTGGAATCCCAGAACAAACCAAAAAATACACATCAGAAATTACAACTACAGCGCATGCATCAAGAAATGAAAATACAGAAGCTTCAACAGGAATTGGAAGAACGTAAGCGTCAACAAGTAAAGTTACAACAGATGCTAGCTTTACAACAATCGTCAGTTCATGATCCAGCACCTACACAATTAAACCATGACCCGATGGGTTCTGGTGGAATGGCTAGTTTTCATAGTCATGGTCAAGCTTCGTTAAAAGCTCTTCCTATGGACGCAATGATGCAAACATTACGAAGTAGAATGAATAATGCTGGTGCGGGGTCTTCTTCATCTTTAATTCCAGATTTAAGTGGACTCAAAGGTCAATTAGATGCTATCGGCTTTCACACTCCAGGTCCTTCTGCGGCAAAGCCTTTTGATGTCAATTCTTTAATGCCAAAACAAGCCATTAAGGCAGCACAACCAGCTACAAACAAGCATACAATAAATATTACTGTTAAAAGAAAAACAAAAGTAGATGTTCCTGGTCTTCCAGTTAACATGGCACAGTTTCAGAAACATAAACCTGCAGCACAAATAAATTCAAATATTTCAACAAAACCTGCTGCCATAACACCTGAACTTTTATCAATGTTAGAAGCTTTGAGAGCTGGAAATGCAGCAAGTCCTGTTGCAGCAAGCCCTGCTGCTACACAAACATTAGTAAATACAGCACCAGCAGCTGTACCAGTCAATGTAGCAAGGCAAACACCAGCAATGACAATGGGGGCATTAACAGGTGCCCCATCAATCCAACAAGTTAATCCTCTTGCAAATATGGTTCAGGCTGCCGCTGCTATACAAACACAACAAACTGGTGCCGTTTCTGGAAACATGTTAGCATCAGCTGTGACAGCAAAAAAAGCAAGCAATACCATGGCTGATATGCTTGACACACAATTGGATGCCATGTCGGACATGGCTGAGGCCGGAATGGGATTCGGAATGATGAATATGATGAGTGGGATGAACGTTATGGGGGGAATGATGGGAGGAGGTATGGGAGGGGGAATGGGAGGAGGAATGGGTGGGATGAGCGGCATGGGTGGAATGGGCGCGATGGGTGGAATGGGCGCGATTGGTGGAATGGGTGCGATGGGTGGAATGGGCGGGATGAGTGGAATGGGCGGGATGGGTGGTATGGGAGGTATGGTGGGAGGAGGGGCAGGTGGGATGGGAAATGGTATGGGAGTTGGTGGTGTTGGTGGAGTGGGATTCGGCGGTTTGGGCATGAATCGTATGATGACTTCGACGTTTATGTCACCGATGATGTTCTAACGACTCATTCAATGATTATAATATGATAATGATGGTAATACAAAGGGTCACAAAGGGTCGATGTGAGCAGGATATAGCGTGAGTCGGCAAGACAGTTCAAGCTTACAAAGTAAATTTGAAAGGGTTAGAACATCGAAACCCAAATTGAGTCATTGGTGTTGACTGAATATTCTGATGATGTTAGACAGATATGATTTTTCCACATTCATCTTAAATGTATTATTGTAAGTAATGCGGAATGTTTAAGCTGTGTTTTCTATAAGGAGTGTACATCTCTTATTTTCGTGTAATGTGTACGTTTAAAGATTTGAATTGCATTTGATTTTGACATCAAGAGAAAACGTTTGTCAAAGTCATTCATAAAAATTCTTTGTCGCATTTTAGTTCAGATTTGTAAAATGTTATGGAGATTTTACAAAAGAGATGTAGAACCACCTACTTAAAATGATTCCTTTCTCAGTCATTAATGCTATTTATAATTTTCATTGTTTATATTTGTATAACATCATCGTATAAATCGAGTTAACCATTACATAACTTTTCAAACGGTCATTCATCGGTTACATTATTTTGAAAATCCATTAATGTTTATGGTTAAGGATGTTTGCTACTCTGTTTCAAAATAACAAGCTTTTAATTGTTATGAATTGAAAGTATATGTATAACGGAACTTAAAAAGAAGAAAAAAATGATAGGTCCGTGTGCTTGTTTTTGAGATCTAAGCCAATGAAAATTTGGCGGAAAATGATTCTCTCTAGATTTTTCATACATTTAACATTGGCACCTTTTTTCTTTCAAAAACTATGAAAAAATAACAAGGATTTTATAAGATTTTCAAATACGGCTTTTGAAACTATATGTAATAAAATTATGAAAAGAAAAGTAGGGGTTAGCGGGCAAAATTTTTGAATGGCACTACATGGATAAAACCAGAGGATTGCGAATATATGGCAAAAATTCAAAAACAAGAGGAGCGAACATCCTTAAGTATTGTTTAAATGTGTATTACTTATATTTTATGCGAGCAGAATTTTTTTTAAAACCATCTTTGAACAACTGTTTAGCTGAGAACATTCACCTCATCTTTCGCAAGTTTGTTTACGCGGGTTATTCAGTGTGCACCACATTTTTGATGTTATTTCTTCATAGACAGAAAAAATATTACAGTCATTCCTTAAACAAAGTCTAAACAGTTTTATTTAATGTTAATGTGTATAGAACATTACACTTTTTGTTGATTTGTACAATTGCATATGCTTATTTATTTCATTGACTTTTTTGTGAATAGCTATTTTGATAAATAAAATAATTTTTTGTTAGAATTTATTGGGGTATTTTTATAATTGTTTTTCCACTAGATATAGAATAACACCTACTTGTATAATTAAACAATGTGTTGAACTTTGAAAGAAATGAACAAGAACACGAGGTAAACACAATATTCATACTAATAAAAGACAAGAATAGAAGTGCCAGCATACATTTTCTCACTCTTACGGAGTACATGTACTTATCTTTTAATCAGTAATTGAATAACTAACGTCCATTTCAAAATATCTCTACAGGCGAACATCCTTAAGTATTGTTTAAATGTGTATTACTTATATTTTATGCTAGCAGAAATTTTTGTTCAAAGCCATCTTTGAACAGCTGTTAAGCTGAGAACATTCACCTCATCTTTCGCAAGTTTGTTTCAGTAAATTGTCTTATTAGTTTGAAACGTCAATTTTCATTTTTAAGGAAGTTCGCTGCTCAATTTCAAAATAATAAGCTTTTCATAAAACTAGTATAAATTGATAGGTGATTATTAAAGGAACCAAAAGAGCAACAAAAAAATATAGGTCAATGTGCTTGTTTTCGAGATATTAACCATTGCAATTTTGGCGGTAAAATGTTCTCTCTTGATTTTTCATAGCCTTACCATTGGCAAGTTAAAGTTCTCAAAAACTATTAAAAAATAACAAAGATTTTATAAAACTTTTACAGATGGCTTATAATTATACATGTAAAAGATTTATAAAAAGAAAAATGGAGGTCAATGGGCAAAATGTTTTAAGGCATTCACATGCATAAAACCAGAGGATTCCGAAAATCTGACAAAAATTCCAAAACATGACAAGCGAACATCCTTAACAATATCATTGACGGTACTAATTGTATTGCAGCAGATGAACATTTCGATGATTAAAATCTTTTCTGTGATTCAGAACTATGCTCGAGGGGATGATTCCTAACTTTAAAATGACTTCCAAAATTTCATAAAAAATTAGTTTTGCTTATTTCTTTCGTGATTTATTATAAATATTTGATATAGAGAAGGGGATTACCATATGGATAGTTTCAAGTTGTTTTCTCATGACTAGTTCGGTCCATTTTACACTCATATATTGACCGCAACATGTATCAACAAAGGGGGATAAAAATAAAAAAAATTGAATATGAAATAACCAATCCATTTTATCAAATTTAATTTATTTTGGCTTGAATGTTTCGAGTGCAGTCCCTTTACATGAATATATCTCGCCCCAGATATTGAGGCATACATTGAGCATCACTATAGACACATTAATTCATTATTGTTATTAAACATAATTTATTCATCTTTAATTTCTTAAGATAAACACTATTGTATTGATTTTTTGTATTTACATTTGTATGAATTCACACATATGTTAAATGCATTAGCGTGATTTAAGTTTTTCTGGTTAGATTCTTACACCAAATATGATTTACGATGACACTGATATGCAGCTGTAAAGACCCAGATGTATCAGAGTTGATTTTTTTACAGATTACACTTAAAATTCAATGATACCAATGTTAAGTGGTTGATACCAATGTTAAGTGGTTGATACCAATGTTAAGTGGTTGATACCAATGTTAAGTGGTATAAGACATAACTGGAGCGATGTAATATCCCAAATGTTTAGAATAGCTAATAAAAATATCAACTAGATTTAGATACGGATTAATTTGATTACGGCAATAAAAAAAAATATTATGAAATAAACTTAATTAAATATAAGTCAGTAAAATAATAGATTTTTTTTTAAATAAATGAAAATGCGTAAGTTGGGTATAAACAATGTATACCTGTAGATATGCAACGTAAAATCAAATAAGTGAAGTATCCTTATGAACTTTTATGGTACCTTTATATACTAGTCAACAAAAGAAACGATACAAGGCAATGTATTTTCCATATATAATGAAATTGGATACACTGTACCAAGGTTAATAATTGCCCAATTGCTCTTATATTTACAGAGTGTTATTTTCTTATCAAAACCATTGTTTTACGGCAAATACGCGAATTTCTTTTTTTTTTTTGCAATTTTTGTTATATAAAAAACTGTATTTTCACCCAAAAATTCAAAAATCGATATTAGAACTTAAAACTTTAAACTTAAACATGGTCTGCTTAAAATTTTGAATGCCTTTACAGATATTTGAATACTTAATTCTCATCTCCGAAATTAAGTGCTGACTTTTGTCATCATTTTCCGCAAAATAAATTTGACCCCTGTGTTTAATAACACGGTATTTTCTCACTTTCCAATTTGGTCAGATTCATTGAATCATATGCATTTGCTTTGTAAATGAATGTTTTTCATTGGATATTTTAACAGTTTTTCCCTATTTATTATATTTTATGATAAATTGGAGTTCAAACTTGTGTATCGTTACTTTTGTTGACTAGTATATCAACCCTACATGATTTCTTTGTGAGTATCCTGCTTCAAAATTTATTAGCTTTTTATTTATTTTTTATCATGATTAACTGAAACAAATATTCAATGTCAGAAGTTTGTAATTGTAAACAAAGTTTAAACTGTTTTATTTAATGTTAATGTGTATAGAACATATGTTGGCAATACACTTTTCGTTGATTTGTACAATTGCATATGATTATTTATTTCATTGACTTTTTTGTGAAAAGCTATTTTGATAAATAAAATAATTTTTTGTTAGAATTTATTGGGGTATTTTTATACTAGTTTTTCCACTAGAGATATAGAATAACACCTATTTATATGATTAAACAATGTGTTGAACTTTGAAAGAAATGAACAAGAACACGAGGTAAACACAATATTCATACTGATACAGGCCCGAACTGTTAACCTACAATAATATGGATGCAATTATAACGAGCTGCGTCGGATAGAAATCGACCTTATGCAAGTGCACATTTACATGTACATGTATATGACTTTGATTGGTTTTTAAATGTTTTAATACGAAATAAAAGATGAATTTTGTTTGTTTTATAGGGTTATTATATAACATCTCAATTTTCAAACAGTTACAGACTTTTGATATAGATTTTATTTCCAGCCGAAATAAGACACCAGATATTTTGATATTCACTTGCATAAGGTCGATTTCAATCCGACGGAGACCAGTCATTATTATTTAACACAGTCAAATATTCAATTCAAATATTAATTGCTATACAACAGTTAGTTAGTAGTGGAAAAGTACAAGAACAGTATAAGTACAAAACACAAATATAAAATGATATACACATATAATACTTATTTATTTTTTTGTGAATAGCTATTTTGATTAATATAGATTAATAAAATGATTTTTTGCTAGAATTTATGACTATTGAACAGCGGTATACTACTATTTCCTTATTTTTTTTATAGATTACATAATACAGTTTGTAATATAGGATTGCGCGTGCTGGACAGGAAATGCTAAATTAGAGACAACAATTGTTTACCGATGTTTAAAATCTCATAAATCAAAAAAGAAAAACAAAACCAAATCGATGTAATAAAAACACTTAGGGAATCGCATGAATCCCAGAAGGAGTGAGACCGAGCTTACCCTGTCAACGTACACGCTCTCGGTCTGTTTAGAGTTTGTGCGATTCATTCAGGTTTGTTTTCCTTTATTTGTGATTTTGAAATATATTAACGGGTTTCTTAAACATCGGAGTACTAATGTTGTAAACACTGATGCGGTTCAGATGCATTCTTAAATTTTAA